AATTCAAATTTAAACTTAAAAATTACAGCCAATTTTGAAAGAGATGCATCGTAGCTCAGAAAATTGTTATTGAATATGTCAATGCTATTGTTGTAATGAAATGCTTCCAATCGTGTGGTTATTAAATAAATAATTTAAAAAAGAGGAATGATTTCAAGGAGCAGTATATCCTTATAGTGGAATATGATGCCATCATTAAAAACTAAAATCATTATACAGTATGATGTCAAATGTGTTAATATTTATATCCACAAAAAGGAAATACTGAAAATATTCATAGTAGTTATGCCTAGTTTTTGATATGCAAAGACTCTTTGTTTTGTATTGACATCTTCCAAATGTGAATTAAACATGGTTCTCTTATAAAACAATATCTTTTTAGATTTTACATTTCATTCACGAATGACATTTGTTTATGTATATATGATATCTATAAAACTTATAATTTGTAAAGATATTGCATTTTATTTAACATGGTTGTTTGTAGAACTAAGGCATATTATAAATATTTTCATAGGACGTAGTATTTGTACATGTTTCTAACAAGTCATCAATTCCTCCTTCGTTTCTCTGTCCTCTTGCAGGCATTTGCCTGGTGGCCAGACTTATTGGCTGAGCATGCCGAGAAGTTTTGGGCTTTATTCACAGTAGATATGGATACTGCGCTGGAGGCTCAACCACAAGACTCCTGGGATAGCTTTCCTCTTTTCCAGCTGCTTAATAATTTCCTCAGAAATGACAGTGAGCACTTGTATTTTCCTTCATGTGTGAAATGGGAAGGGGGGGGGCATCATCCGTGAGTGTATGTTTATAGAGCCCAAACTCAGCCCCAACAAGAGTCCATGTGGATAGCGTGGATGCTTATTGAGCTTCCCTGAGGATGCCAGGGTCTGGGAGAGACACATCTCCCACATGGTTTCACTGCTGAACTCCAGGCCATCTGTTATTCCTTCACTCCAGCCTATGTTGAGAACGGACAATATAGACAACTTTCTCATTGCATCTTGTGGACCAGAAAAAAAAAAAATCTATGAAGGCTGGCCCTGCTAGAATACTCAAGAATGCTTCTGTCTGTGACGGACACCTTGGAAATATGTCCATATTCTAGGAATCATTCTATGTCAAGGCTCCTTTTTTAACAGGCATTGTGACTGAGCTGCTTTTCTGAGGGTGAATATATCTCCTCGGATGATGGTAAAATATTGTTATGTGGATGACTTGTTCTTTAGTATTTAGAAATCAAAGAAGTATTGGTTCTCTATTGAAACTGTTTCCCCATGTAATAAGGGCTTTCATGGTTATTCTGATAGACAGTCTAGCAGCCAATGCAAACCTAATGCTTATCAAAATATTAGCATACAGACTCCTGAGCCATTTCTGTAATAGGTGTTTTCAGTTTCCCTAGACTCAATTTAGTTATGAGTGGCTGCTGTTGTTTCAACAATGAGTGATTACGAGATCACTAATTTCCTATTCAGTAAAATTGTTCCCATTAAACACCAAGTTGAACTCTGCCTCCTAGTGTCTAGTTCTAACTTGTTTTCCATGATCTTGCAGCAATCCTCTCCCATCCTAGATTTTCTATTATATCATTTAAATTTTCCTCACACAATAGGACATTCAAGTCGACTGCCATTCCTAACACCTTTCTGAACAGATCTCACTCCCTTTCTCACTGTAGCTTGGAACACTGGTCAGGAAGCCACGGGAGCCACCCAGGCACCAGACTCCTATAGCCAAAGCTGTTGTTACTCTGGTTGTATTGTCCATAGGTTTAGAACTTTCTGTACATTAAAACTCCAAATCACTTTTGCCACTCTCTTCCTAAAAGGCTACTACTATATATTTTTTTTAGTTTTAAAATTAAGCCTATGTTTAATAGAGGTTTGGTTTTTTTTTGTTTTTTATTTTTTGTTTTTTTTTTAGTCTTTGGTTTTATTCATTCCTTTAGCCAAATATTTACCTTTATTTGGTCTCTGTTCTAACTAGTGAGAAATTCATACAGATACCAAACTACGGCACCGTATGCCCCATGGCATCCCAGGTTTCAAACATTAGCCCAAATAAAAATCTCTGTTTTAGTAAGATGGGCATCTTATAGTATTATAGTCCTTAACAACATGGGTTGAGGTTCCAAACAGTCACATATCTGCCACTGACCTTTAACAGTAGTTTAACCTCTCTAAGCTGTAAGGTCTTAATATATAAAAGAAGAAGGATAATTACACTGACAGGGTCATTTGTGGTGAGGAAAAAAGAGGACTCACTTATAAAAGATGCTAAAGGGTATCAGATACTGTAGGCTTTCACTCTTCGGTTTCAGCCCTGAGTAATCTTATTTATTCTATATAATTTCATTTAATTTCTAAAAGGTATATTTATAATGAAGAAAAAGAACTGAAGGCATTCATACTTGAGATTCAGCCACAGTGCCTACTCTCAGAAGAGGCTAATTGTGCACTTTCTGCCTATTAGCTGAGGCTAGTTCAGTGGGTCCAGTTTTGTTCCTTCCTACAGGAAAGAAGGATCTGAATAACCTTTTTGTCTTAGTTGCCTGTCATCATTCCTCTTCTGCTAACAAAATTCAGCTCTAATTTTAAAGTTTATCTTAGATTTATAATAATAAATGCATATGTTATGCATTGAGTCCTTAAATAGGGATAAATACACATTGTCACTTTCCTAATGAATGCACAAGAATCATCAGGGGCTGGGGAAACATTTCAGCCAGTAAAGTGCATACTGTGCAAGCATAAGTTACTGATTTCAATCCCTAGCACCAACATAAAAAGCCAGACATGGAGCTGAGCATATATATATATATATATATATATATATATATGTATATGTATATATATTCATTCCTAGTGAATGGGAGGTAGAAACAAGTAGATACCTGGTGCTTGATGGTCAGTCAACCTGTCCTAAGTGGCAAACCCCAGAGGCCACTGAGAAACTCCATCAGAATACAAGATGGGGGAGGGGAGGCTAGAGAGATGGTTCAGAGGTTAAGAGCATTGGCTGCTCTTGCAGAGGACCCGGGTTTGATTTCTAGCACCCACATGATGGCTAACAACTGACCATAACTCCAGTTCCAGGGGAATCCAACACCCTTTTCTAACCTTCACAAACATTACATGACCTGGGTGCACTTACACACATGTAGACAACACACTCATACACATAAAAAAATGAAAAAAAAAATGCAAGATGGACAGTTGCTGAAGAATGACACTGGAGGCTGGTGTCTAGCCTCCACACATACGTGCACAGACACGTGCACAGTGTACACACAAAGAACTAACCATATTTATGAGCTCTGTTGGGGGTTGTTTAAAAGAGTAGTTTATTAATGTTCACGCTCCAACAGTAAAGATGATAAATCCTTAAAATTGAACAAAATATAATTTTTTTCATATAGGAAAGAAAATATTTGTAGATTTCTTAGAATTTTTCTTGACTATTCATTACTACACACCAATTTATCTTTACTTTGGGGAAATATTCTTGCATTAAAAGCATAAATTTTTGTATGATCAGAATGAGAACCACAGATTTTTAAATTTCAGGTGATTTGCAATTTTTTTAGTTGACAAGGGTTCTATATTCCTCTCCTGTCTTGACACATTTCCTTAACAGTGACTGCCACTTAGTACATGTGGTACTACTTTGTGCTATTAATTTGGACAACCCTCAGTCAGCATGGAGGAGCGCTGACTACAGACCTCTTTTGGGCCCTGTCAAAACTGAGGGCACCTACATCCTGGTTTTGATTTTACAGTGATTAACAGATTTTTGAAAACATCAATTATCTCCTAGAAAAACAGCTCTTTCATATAGTGTGTAAATAGAAAAGTTCCCTAGTGCCATAATTTCTTTTTGGGGCTGGGAGATTAGTGTGGCCTGGGGAATTGAAATGAAATGAGTAACTTTCACCTCACTCACAAGTTCTGCTTCTAAACCAAGGCCACTAACTAATATCTCCATAGTTGATAAAACAGACTTTTTTCTAACTATTTCTGTCACCCCCTGATGATAATGAAGACAATTGCTAATAATTATGTGTTTGTTTTATTACATTTCTTAGAGATTTCTTGAATTTCTTTTAAATATTTAGTGTCAACTTAAAGTGCCCTCAAATTATCCTTTTTGAAATGTATGGGAAAACATTGTCTATTTTTTTAGTCCTCCTTGAAAGAGAGATTTGGATTACGGACAGGCTGTTGCAGTTTTTGCCATATTGACTCAATTAGAGTTATTGTCCAAATCCCAATTAATTACAATAAACTAGCTAAGTATACTCAGAAAAAGAGCTCTGAATGTTCAGACTTGAGAAGGGAGGTAATTTGCTGAATAGCAGTGTACACTATTTAGATGGCATATTGGGGAGTGGGAGGAGGTTACATAGGGTGTGCTGCTAATTATAGAGGATTTTAAGTGATTCAGATGATTGTGGTGCATTACTAATAAATAATTTGCAACTCATACTATGAAAGCATTACTAAAAGTGCTTATTATTACTAATAAGTAATCAGTTTTATGTTGCTTTTCCAAATTTAAAAATGACCAAGACCATTCAAAGTGGAGATGCTGATTATTGCTTAAACATCAATTAGCTCCTAGAAAAACAGCTCTGTATTTGTGGCTTGAAACCTTTATAGCTGAGGCGCTTTTAGTGCATAGTTCAGATGTTCCCACAAGCTATTCACTGTCTTTTTTCTATTAAAATATTTATGCTTTGGTATTTAAAATGAACTATTTATCTTCTGACTATGGAAGGGATCCTAAGAAAAGCCCCTTGAATTTACAGCTGAGAAACTGAGGCCCAAAGAGGTGGTGAACCTGGTTAGGGGCTTGCCCACAGGGAACTAGGAATAGAGCGGGGCCGGGGGGAGCAATATCACTGTCTCCAGTTTGGTTCCATTCCTTAATTACAAAGTAGGTTCTAGGGACATTTTTATAGTAATATAATATTATATTACAGTTAAGGAATATAACAGATTCCTTGAGCTTTTGTTTTTAAATCAGAAAATATTTTTAGGGAATGGAGTTAAAGGGACAGAAGTGTATTACGGAATACAGAAAGGGTTAGGTAAAGGAATGGATTACCTTAGCATATATGCTAGGCAGCATCTCAGACAAGATTTCCAGGGACTGAACTAATTAGTGTAGAAAGGGACCAAAGACCTCAAATTCAGTTTCTGTTTTAAGGAGGAACAAACATATCATGTCTGAGGTGTGTGTCTTCCCCTCCAGTTAGTAGTGAGTGGAGTAAGTCAGAGCTCTGCGAACACTTGGAGATGAACTGTGGCTTTCCTCAGGGGAAGAGTACAGCTGCATGCATCCCGCTTTTAGCAACTGTCCCCAACAACCCACCCTCACAGCCTCACCCACTGATTCCCAAAGCAAGGCTGGAGTGGTAAACAAACTCAGACTCCATTCCTGGCCCAAAACAACTGAGCTCCTCCTTGCCATCCTCATTGTTGTGCACCCCATCTGCTCCCCCCACAATGATAATTAGATGAGAAGTTACTTTAAATGGTGTCTAAGGAAGCAATCTTGAAAGAAAGATCTATTAAAAGTTGAGGGAATAATAAATGTTTTCATAATAAAGCAATTAGCATGGTAGCTCAATGATACTAAATGACTACAAAGCTACTACAAATAGATTCTACCTTGCATACTGTTTTCCACAATTGACCCATGGAGAATAGATACAGCCAGTGACCGCTCCTGACAAA